AGCCAGGCGGCCCCCGGCCCACCAGAGGCCAAAGGGTCATCTGCTTCCATCAGTTACCTTAGAAAAGCGCCCGAGAACTAACTGCACGATGAAGGTCAGAGGCTTTTCACTTGAGTATCGAGGGCTCATTCATTCACAGAGTGAGGGTTGAAAATGCGTTGAAAATGCGTGCGTCTTGGCATCAGTGGAAATTGGCATCATGCGATGTCAACTAAGATATTTAAAATATTCCCTGCCCTTCTTTAAACGGAGTGTGGGCAGCTGGGTGTGTTGGTGCACATCTGTAATCCCAGCTACTCTGGAGGCTGAGGCAGGAGGATCGCAAGTTTGAGGCCAGCTTCAGCAATTTAGTGAGACCCTAAGCAACTTAGTGAGACCCTGTCTCAAAAGAAAAAGGCTCTGGAGATGTGGCCCAGTAAGTTAAGTGTCCCTGGGTTCAACCCTTGGTACTAAAAATAGATAAATAGATAAATGAAGTAAACAGAGTGTATGCACCCAGTAAACCCACATGGTTCACTCTCAGGGACAGCACCAGATGTGCGTTCTAGGATCCTGTGGAGCCCACGGTTCTGGATAGCTTGTGGTCAGCTGAAGTTCACCTCAAATGAACCTCTTCTGAAATGGGAGGGGAGAGCGCCTGCTGCTGGGTGCAACCCACAGAACCGGTTGTTCAGCGGTGTCGTGATCCCCAGCTGGGCGGGCAAGGCTGGGCTCTGCTGGCCTCTGTGTGGGCTTCATGGCTTATGCTGATCGGTCCCTAGACCTGAGCGGAGGTCCCCACCAAGCTCCCTCCCATCGTGTGTGTGGAAGAGCCCTTGCCAGGCTTGTGCAAGAGCCAGGGATCCATCCCCAGGAGGGGGGGGATAGAAGCATCCATCAGCTACAGTGAACCCACCTAATTTGAGTCCTGATTGAAACAAAAAACCCAACAAAAATTACCATTTTCAATTACCCCATAAATATCGTAAAATTACTAGTGGTTTATTTATCTGAAAGTAGGACCCAAATAAGGTGACCTCTACTGTCACTCTTTTTTTATTTGTGGAGCGCATGCTGGCAGGAACCTATGCCCCCAGCCCGCAGGTCCCTTGAGTCTAGATGCTCATTTTGCTGATGGTAGATATTAGAGTTGTTTTCAGGTGTTTTTTTTTTTTTTCTTTACAATCCATGCTGCTCTGGATGTTCTTAAACGTGTCGCCTGGGACGCGTGTTTGCATTTCTTTCAGGTATACAGGCAGAGTCTGCATGGGATCGGTTCCAAGGTTCCAAAACCTGCAGATACCCAAGTCCCGGATGTAACGTGGCGTTTCATTTGCATATCACCTCCCAAGCCCTCCCATTGATTTAAATAATCCCAGGGGACCTCGAACCTAATCCCATGTAACCCCATGTAACAATTCGCTGCTGTGTTGTTTAGGGACTAATAAGAATAAAGTCTTGGACACATTCAGCACAGTTTTTTTCTCAATCTCTCTGATCTGCCATTGACTTAAACCATGGTGTGGAACCTGCAGAAACTGTATAACTGCAGGCCAACTGTATACACACCTAGGAATGGAAGTGCTAGGATCCAGGGCAGACATTTACTGAGGAATGTCGAGTTGTCTTCCACAGTGATTGGACCAGGTTCCACCTCCATCAGCTGTTCTTTTCCTTTACATTTCTATGAACAATTGATATTTTCAGATGTCTTAATTTTTCTTCCTGATCTAGTGGATATCATATTACTTCATGGGACCCTACTTAGCATTTGGATTACATTTTTTATAACCTTATTGGCTATTGATACTTCATGTCTTTTTGTCATTTTTCTGTTGGAGTAATTGTTGTTTATTTATAGCAGCTCTTTATATATTCTGAATACTGACGTTTGCGAGGTAATTCGGACTATCTGAATTCAAATCCTTATTCTGTGTCTCTGAGAACATGGGAAAATCACCACACTTTTCTGTGCCTCAGTTTCCTCTTGTAAGATGGGGGATCACTGTAAACCCCGCCTCTCAAAGCTCAGACGATGATTAAATGAGACGCCAGGAGTGAAGGGCTTGGAATACCACTTGGTGCACCGCAGCTCAGGGACCTCGGTATTTAGAGTAAGCACTTGGAACAGCGGTTACTGTATTTATTCCCTATACACACTTCACAGTATATGTGTAAAAATGTCTTCTCTTGGTCTGAGGTGGGTTTTAATTATTATTTTTTACTTTATTAATCTGCTTCTTGTGGTCCTGGGGATTGAACCCACGGTGCAGTCCTGGCTGGTGAAGGAGGAACTGTCCCAGAGACGTGGAGAGAGAGGGGAGGAAGTGGGGCTGAGGCCCTCACCCTTGGGAGGGGGCGTGGCCGGGCGGGGCGGGGCGTGGCCTGGGCCGGATTGGCAGGTCGGACGCCCTCCCTTTGACTGCGGGGAGCGGCAGCCCCGCTGGAGCCTGGTGCTGGGCTCTGAAGACGACAGACCCCCGGGTTAGCGCTGCACCTCGGTGGCACAGCACTTGCCGGGCACGCGGGAAGCCCGTCCCCTCCGCAGCGGGCAAAACACAAAACAGCAGCCATCCCTGCCATGGCGTCGGTGCGGTTTCTCCCCCACTGTCCTGGGAAAGCCATCTGGGGCCTGGTTGTGGGTGGTGTGTAGCACACTCTCCTGGGTGGGGTGTGACCAGAGCCCTGCAGCACCTGGGGTGCCCTTCAGTGAGGGGCAGAGGGCAGGGGCAGGACCTGGGGGCGGAACAGGCAGTCTTTACAGGACAGGTGACTCCTGGTCATTGCAAGATGTCAGTCAGGTTTTATTGACTACTTGCTCCTAGGGTTAGTGGGACCTAGGGGCAAATGGTGGGGGGAAGCTGGAGGGGTGGCGAGGAAGAGAAGAGACAGCAAGAAGACGGAGATGACCAGGGAAGAGGGCATAACCGTGCGGGAACCGCAGGATGTGCTCAGAACATCTAAGGTTTATTGAGCAGCTGCTAGACCTCAAATGCGCCTCTGAACACACCCCAGTTGCTGTTTACAACAACCCTCTGAGATAGTGCCTAGGATCACCACATGGTACAGATGGGGAAACTGAGGCACGGAGAGCTTAGCAACTTGCACGAAGACACGAATGCGGGGACCACGTGATGCCTCCTGGGGGAGGGGCTCTTGGCAATTCTGCAGGAAGAAAGCCTGCCTCACCACCCCCTTGGGTGGCCGTGCTCTGAGCTGCCTGTGGGTGGCATGGGGCATTGTGGGCCCAGGGGACCCTGGCTCCCAGCACCAGACAGGTAGAGCTGTCCCTCTGTGGTCACCCCGGACCCAGCTGTCCACCTTTCCAAGGGCTTGGGGGACGTGAGCCCAAGGAGAGCTGGGCCCGCTGTGATAGAGCCACGTGGGGATCACAGGGACAGAGGACAGGGTGGAGAGGCCCCGAGAGTGAGGCAGACACAAGACAGACAGGGACAAGGAGAAGCTGGTGGGCAGGAGGGGATCCACGGTGGCACACACCCAGGACCCCAGGACCCCAGCAACTCGGGGAGGAGGATCATAATTTTGAAGCCAGACTCCACCGCCTCCGAGAACCTGTCTCAAAATGAATTTTAAAATAAATAATAAAGTAAAATATGAAACATAAAGAGATTTTAAAAGGACTGGGGATGTGGCTCAGTGGCAAAGTGCCCAGGGTTCAATTCCCAGAACAGGGAGAGAGAGGTGGGGATGGGGGTGTCCAGAGATGGAGACAGAGAGAGAGAGAGAGAGAGAGAGAGAGAGAGA